AGAGAAGAATTTGATAATGATCATGGAAGAATTTCAAAGTACGGAAGCCAGAATAAGAACTTCAAAATGATTAAGACAAGAAGATGCATGAAGAAGAAAAAGAAGAAGAATCAGGACAAGGAGGTTACCAAGATAAACAAAGGAAAGATATTGGACTAAAATGTACTTGTCCAATTAAACTGTTAACGTTAACATCTTAAAAAGATCGCAAGTCGTTCGTGAACTGGGATATTTACTTACTTTGTTCTTCATTGCCATCCCATGCCACTATGAGAAGTTGTTTAACCGAGAGAATAAGTATCTGAACGGGATCTTCCTAAGATGTCACCTGCCTCCAATATTATCAAGCTTTTATATTCGTTCACCTGTCCAAAATCCAAGCGCGCAATTGGCTAAAATCGATCGCGTGATTTTTCTTTGTTTGGCAATAACACATGAAAATTGTGTGTTATAGGAAGATTTAATGATTTGAGAGATGGAAATATCTTCAGCATGATCGGAAATCAATACAATCAATCACGAAAAGACAATTTAATTGGAGTGTGTCGGTTTTCAAGGGAAAAAAACAAAGAAATTTTAGGTCTTTATATATAATGCGCAATGTTTTGAATTCCGAAAACACWGCTTTATTTTGGACGTAGTTGAGCATKCTGTGTGTATAGCTTTGTCAGTGAAGGATGATTATTTTCTTCAAATATTSAATGAAACCAYTTGTTAAAAATTTACAGTGAACTCGAAATTTCTTCATAMTGCACTTGGGAAAACACTTATTTTACATCACCCTCCCCTACATATACCCTTTGCATGTGACGTCAAATCTGGGGGTCAAAATAAAAGTATTCCCATCTCTTAAGGATTGAAATCTTTTATGATGTTAATACGTTCAATTCTTTTCACCCCAGGAAGGGATTTAGTGCAAGGRGTCCATACGTTAATTCGCACAGTATCTCCAGTTTTGCMTAAAAAATGAAAAGCTATTGTATCCATTCACACTTCAAGCTGGAGTGCTTTGYGTTCCGTAAGTGAGAACTTATGGAAAAAATAGAGCTAGTTGAGGGACAAGAGTAACTACTACTTTTAAAGTTTATGAAKAACTGAATAAWAAATATTAAAATAAATGTATGAAYWTAATTCAAATTTCTCATATCCAAAACTACGTTCAGCAGGTGACATTGTAATAGCGCTATTTAGAATAGTACGTCTTCCAAGTTCTAGTTCTGTCAACGTTAAATGTATCATGTGAAGRAATCAGCTAAGATGAATATCACCCTGCCATAAATATCTTGCCTATGTGTTAGCACAGTGTTCCTAGTTTTGTTTTAGAGATGAAAACCTAGAGTGCATTGTGAATCTATCGGTAAATCTACGTATTATTCCCTTGGTAACGACCACCCACACGTACCGGCCGTKTTGGTTGGTTAAGAGAATTTCGAAAAGTCCTCTGATTCTTCTACAAGATATAAATACATTATACACTTCATATAACGAGAGAATTAGTTTTTTTCCCCGAGAGTCTCGATGGAAAGGTATAATAACTAATTTCCCAAAGAACCAGACATAAGCTAATGAAATAATCTTCCTAAGATGTCACCTCAAATATTATAACTATACTGACGTTCGCACAGTG